GCCCAGGTAACACCACACACCAGGTACACCCTCAGCACTTTTCATAACAACACTACATCATGATAGTTGATCTTATTACAAACCCTGCTACACGGGAGGAAACAAGGCCTCAGAGAGGTTAATAACCTTACCCCAGGTAACACACCCATTAAGAAGCAGAACCAGGATTCCAACACAAGCAATCTGGCTCTAGTCCATACTCTTAACCATACACAGCTGCCCCCAGTGCATAAAGACCTGTTTAATGTCATGTTATAGTCAAGGATTTCCAACCACAAGCCAGAGAATAGGTAAGGCTTTAAGAGAATGGGCTCTGTGCCTCCTTCCAGTGGTCTTTGATTATAGCATGGGATGGAGCCCCTCCTTCATTTATTCATTTGACAAACATGGAGCACTAGGGATACCATAATGAATAATATGACTATGGCACTTACCATCCTTGAGCAAGGAAGGAAACTGAACTTTTAAAAACAAATAAATGAGTACAATAAATAGAGTTTGTAATAACTGCCATAAAGGAAATGATCAGAGTTCTGGGATGGCCAACTGAAGTTGAGGTTAGACAGTGACGAAGCACTAGAACCACTCAGGCTCATCTGTTACAGCAACATTTCAAGACACATGGCCTTGAGTAAACAGAGAGCCAGCAGTGCAGAGGAGCCAGGGCTGGGTAGAGGTGGCGGGAAAAGGCCTCCCTGCATCTCCCTGGACCAAAAAGTAATCCTCAGATGATGTCTTGGGCCAACCCATGGGCCTTCCCAGCCCTGCTGACCAGGACACCCTTCGTCTTGAAGAGTAAAAAATCTTAGAATGACACAATGCTGGCCTCAAAGTCTCTACCAGGTGAAGAATCCACATTTAGAGAGTAATGGTTAACGGTGTGGTATGAACCTTGCTCAGCCCTGCTTGGTCCAAATCCCAGCTCCATCATTTCCCAGTTGAGTGATGTGTGATATTGGCTTTAGATTCCCCATCTACACAACTCTCTTTCAGAGGGCAATTCAAGATCTTTTAGCACAGTGCATGTAGTGAACGCTCAATAAATAGAAAGCGAGATTATCAGAATGGCAGCTTAGTAGCTGGAGCAACCAAGGTCCATTCTAGGTAAACTCACTTTCCACATCAAGAAAGGAAAGGACTTGCTCAAGACCACTTGCTGTTCAGCGATGAGTCTGGAAACAGAACCCAAGTCCTTGGTGGGGCCGTGCCTACACTAACTGCTCAGCACATCATCATCGTAACTGAACTTCCAGGCCACCCAAGACCCAAAGCTGTTCTTTTCCCCTGGGTGATCTCTCCCCTCTTGATGTCTTGGACTTGGCTTCCCACCCTTTCTCTTCTCTCCCTGCATCAGCCACACTACCCTCCATGGCTCCTCAAACAATGGCTCTCAGCCTCCTGCCTCAAGCCCTTTCCCCTGGCTGCCCCTACTGTCCTTATGTCCTTGAGCAATTCACAGCTCTGCTCAGAGCCACTTTAGCAAGAAAATTGCTACTTTGGCTTTATTTTGTTTTGGGGTACCTGAGAATCAAACTCAGGACCTCGTGCTTACCAGGCAGGCACGGTGCCACTGAGCTAAATGCCAGGCCCCTTCAGACCCACTTTAAACAACATGGTAAGATCACTGGGACACACACGCAAACAACTCACAGATGAGGGGGTGGAGGAAATAACAAAACCAGACTGATGCAAGCCCCTAAGTGTCCTGGCTGGGTGATAAGTACACAGGGAATCTTTTATTTTTCTCCACAGGGAATCTTTATACTATTTTTCATTTCTGTTTGAAATTTTCTAAAATAAGAAAGTTTATTTTCAAAACTCACATCATTACAGTATCCTTTATTTTTGCATAAATTTAAATTTTTCCACAATAAAAACATTTTTAACTTGCCCTTTGGGACTGGGGGTATAGCTCAATGGTAGAGAATGTGCTTAGCGTGTTTGAAGCCCAAAATCTGATCTCAACACACACACACACACACACACACACACACACACACACACACACACGACCAGTGGGGGACACCTGTAATCTCAGCTACCTAGGAAGCTGAGGCAGAGAGATGGGAAGTTTGAGGGCGGTCCGGGCAATTTAGTGAGACCCTGCCTCAAAATAAAATAAAATGGGATGAGATGAGATGTAGCTCAGTAGCAGAGCACCTCTGGGGTAGATGCCCAGTATCACAAAAACAAGCAAAACAAAGTCCTTGTCCATTATATTATTCTATTTTCAGATATACTTGAAATATTTTCCAAAATAAAGTTTAAAAAAGAGCCCCAACAAGAGGCCTCCTTGACCATCACGTCAGCCTTCCCACCCCCAGCACACATGCTGCTCTGAGCCCTCACCTTGTCTTTATTCCTCTTAAACACTTGTTACACCAGATACATTCTCTGCTTAGCGGTCTCTTTTCTATTTCCACCAAATAAATGTCAGCTCCATGAAAGCAAGGACCTTATTTTCTTTCACCATCAAATCCCAGCAATCCTAACAGTGCCTGACACATAACAAATGTTTTTTGAATGATTATTAAGAGAATCCCACTTCGCAGACCAGGAAAGAGGTGCCAGCTGATTCAGCAACTTGCTCTAAGCTGCCCATCAAGTCAGCAGTAGGGCAAGAATTTAAATGCCGACCTGAGCTCTTCCGTCCTCCAGGACCTGAGAGCCTATTTCTCAGTTTACTTACACACACACACACACACACACACACACACACACAGGGGATGTTACCTGGCGGGGCGTGACCCAGGACCAAGAGAGCCACAATAAGCAGAAGCAGTTGTGTCATGGCCATGGGGCTCCTGGGAGACTGCAGAGAACTCCAGAGGCAAGCGACCTAGCGGCCCGGCCTGGCTACGTGCTGCTGCCTGGCCTTTATGGGACTGTGGAGGAAGGCAGGGCCATGGCAGCAGAACTGAGTGGGAGGATGGAGCAGTGTGGTCCCAAGGCTGCTCAAGGTCTCAGCCAGCAGTTGCACCTGCCAGAGGCTGCTCAGCTGTGAAACCGGAGGCTAAACTTTCTGAAGCAATGCCCCGGGGCAGAGGAAAGAGAGGAGAGAATAAGACACACCTTGACTGGAGGAGACCTCATTCAATCCCAGCATCTCCTCCTAACAGTTATGAGACCTTGGCTTAACCTCTTTGAGACCCAGGCTGTGGTATGAAATAATGCCTTTGTAAGGGTAGTAAATGGATATTTCACTTCCTAATGCCAAGAAGATGGGGCCAAGTATGCATGTGTTTGGACCTATTCTAAAACTGGGAAGAGTACTTACCTCAAAGAGAATAATAGCTACCTATCTCATGCAAAGAATTAAATGAAATAATGTAATGATTCTCAAAGCGGGGTCCACAGACCAGTAAGCACCTGAACCTGCTAGAATTGCAAATTCTCTGGTCCTACCCCAAACTTATGAATCAAAAATTCTAGACAGTGGACCCCTCAACAAGCTGTCCGGGTGGTTTTGGTGCACCACTGAGGCCTGAAAACCACTAAGATACTATAGGATTAGAGCTCAGAATAGAGTCTGGAACCTGGAGTGGTGGCACACACCTGTAATCCCAGCACTCAGGAGGCTAAGGTAGGAGGACCACTGTGAGTTTGAAGCCACCCTGGGCTACAAAGTGAGTTCAAGGCCAGATGAACTGCATAGTGAGACCCTGTCTCAAAAAGACCAAAAAAGCATAAATAACGTCTTATACACAGGTACCTGAACTGCATGTGAGATAAGTGGGGAAATGTACCCCAGGCAGAAGAAACAGTGTCTAAAGAGTGCAGCATGGGCAAAGCGAGGATTCCCAGGGTGAAGAGGACAGGGCAGCCAGAGCACCACGGGACTTGAGCACCAAGTTCAGGTTTTTGTATTACAGGCAACCAAAATTGTTCTTTTCTTTGTACGGGAAATCGAATCCAGGACCTTGCACTTGCCACACAAGTACTTGTGCCACTGAGCTATATCCCCAGTACTTCAAATGTTTTTTAGCAGGATCCTGTTTAGCAAACCTGTTCAGATTACAGTTTTACATAAACTGAAACCCAAGGAGAAGAGTTGACTTGCCTAAGCTCATAGCGCTGCTGACTGGCAGACCTCTCTGCTAGACACGGAAGGGAGCGACACCACACCCAGTCTTTTGTGCAGGTGGGAAGGGAAGGCTCAGAAGGCTGAGCCAAAAAGGAAGCCAGGTGCCTGGGGGGTCAGCCATTTCCCCCAAAACCTCCGGAGACTGAGTTGTGGGAGTTGTTCCAAGCTAGACACCTGGACCCCCTCAGTCATGACCATGAGCCCCACCCACAGGTACAGCTTGGTCTCCATGGCCCCCACACACCTTCGCACCCCAATCCCTCAAGAGCTAAAGAGAAGCATCCTACTCAAAACCATATCCTGGCCCCACATAAAGCCACACAACCGGGCCCTCCAGCCAGCCTCTCTTCTATCAAGATCCAGGCCGTTTCTCCTCCTCAGCTCTCTAGGCTAAAAGGCAAAGAGACCTGAGTCTCAGGCTCAGCCAATCTTCCGCCGAAAGAGCAAAGGAACGACTTACACCAAAACCAGAGGCTGTATTCAGAACCCCTCGGTGCAGGTTTCCCCTGCTCTCCTCCCCCACGGCACTTCCCAAAATTAATCCTCCAGCCAGAGCAAACTTTCACAAAGTAGGGTCTTTGAGCTAGCTGCATCAGGATCACTTGGGACACTTGTTTTATTGAAATGCAGATTCCTAAGCCCCTCTCCCAGTAATGCAGAGATTCCAGGACTCCTCTCCTTAGGGCTGAACTTGGCCTTCCGGGTTGATGGAGTGGAACCACGCCGCCGCAGAGGGGAATTTAGACCCAGAAACCCACAGTCTACATCGTCCTGTCTCTCGTTCCCTACCCCAACACCCCCACGTCGGGAGGACTGGAGACCGCCTGTCCGCTGGGTTCTGCGCTTGGATCGGTCTCAGCGCGGCCCAGGCCTGGGGCGGGGACCCGCGGGCTGCCCCGACAGCGGGGCGTGACGGGGCGGATCGCGCTCCTCCCCCGGCTACCCAGTGGGGCGGGACCGGCCTGAGGGGCTGCGCGCAGACCGGGTGGTACAGCCCGGAGCGCCGAGCAGCGGAGGCGGAGGGACCGGGACCCTGCCCACGAAAGGTAAGGTACATGCGACCCGCCGCCAACTTGCTTGAGTTGGAGCGGAGTCCGCCCGGCGTCTGCACCCGGCTGCTGCGACGCGCGGGGCCGGGAGCGCGAGGCGAGTCCGAGACCAGGGTCTCCAGACCTGGGGCGCCGGGGGCCAACTGGCCCCGGACAAGAAAGCCCCTTGTCTCCCGATCCAGAGGGATTCACACCTAGAACCCCAGGCTGGGAAGGTTCGGATCCAAACTCTAGAAATGGAATATGCGTTCCAGGGCCCTGTGGGCTCCCCTCCAGGTCTCTGGCCAGGACCCTGTCTTGTCGCCAAACCTGGGGCCTGGCTGCCCTGCAGCTCCCGCCCCTCTACAACAGCTGGAGGCCGGAGCGCCAGCCGCTCCTGAATTTTTCACGCAGGGGGCGGGCCGGACACGCCGTTCCCATGGCACCAGGGCACTCGGATTACAGCCTGAGGGATACCCCGAGCCCCCAATCCCCATGGGGCACCAACCTAACCTATCCTGCCTCCTTCTGAGACCTAGTGGGACTGGGCAGGGGAAGTAACAGCCCCCTTGGGCGCACTCAACCCTCCCCTGTACCCCCTCAACCCAAAATAAGTGTTAATAGTCCAGCGGGGAAGAGGGAAGGGAGACGGTTGCCTGCAGGGCAGCAGTTGTCTCCTGTTCTGTTTGCGAGGGGGAGGGCAGTGGCCACCTGGGCGGGTGCATGCATGGACCTCTTTCCCTTGAGGCTGCCCCTCTGCCTGTCTGCGTGTGGAGGGTGGACCATCCTCAGGCGTGGGAAGTGGGTGTGCATGTCCGGATGAGTTCACAGCCTGTGCTCACCCCTTCCAGCCGGACCCAGCAAACCCCCACCACAAGGAGCTGTGGTGCCTCCCACTGAACAGGAGCGGACTCTGGAGGAAGCTCTCTCAACAGCTCCCAGGAGCTTGTAGAAGAAGGGGCTCAAAGCAGCTGCCTCACTGCCCATCCATCTTCTTGGAAGGAAGGAAGGAAGGAAGGAAGGAAGGAAGGAAGGAAGGAAGGGAAGGAGGGAGGGAGGGAGGAAGGAAGAAAGGAAAGGAGGATCAGTCCAAAGCCCCTTCCCACCAAGGATGACACTAAACACTCAGCAGGAAGCAAAAACCCCTCTGCGCCGCAGAGCCAGCACTCCACTACCCCTGTCCTCCCAGAGCCGCCAGCCTGGCCGCCTGTGCACAGCAGCCCCCATGCAGTCCCAGCATCCCCCACTGGGCCAATCGGCTTCACTCAACCCTCCAGCCCGGAAACCGTCGCCTGCTCCGGATAGCTGGTCCTCTGAATCCAGCGACTCTGAAGGTTCCTGGGAGGCCCTCTACCGCGTGGTGCTGCTTGGAGACCCTGGTGTAGGGAAGACCAGCCTGGCCAGCCTCTTTGCAGGGAGGCAAGAGCGGGACCTCCATGAACAGCTAGGAGGTAGGGTCCCTGTGAGATGAGCTGGGCTGCAGCCAAAGGTGTGAAAGGCCTGGCACCAGAGCTTGGGGCTGCCAAAAACAGTTGTACAAGTCATGCATGCACTGTGCAACTCGAAGGGCACTATCACACAGCCCATGAGGTGAGTTATGCTCACCTAGAGTTGTGCAGCACCATAGTCTAGGGAAGGGAACTGCCCTGGAGTGAGAAATGTGCCAGTATCTCATGGCTAGAAGTACATGATTCATTTCCATGTCATAAGGAGAGCAGTTCTAAAAACTATCAATGTTAAAAATGGTGGCCTCTACACAGCTCAGAAACCTCCAGTGCCAGGTCCCCCAGACACTCAGACCCTCCCAGTCCCACAGATACCCAATCATAGCCACGATGACCTGCAGCATCTTCCCACGATGGAGACTCCCATATCTCCAGACTGGGCCCTGGGTTGCTTTGGTCCCAAGAAATGCAATGAGCTAACCCAGCCAAGAGCCCAGGGTGATGGGATACAGAGACAGAAGAAATGCAGGCTTGCCCCTGCAGGAGTGGCCAAGAGCACCCAGGTGAGTGGGGAAGATGGTTAAAAGCAAAGAGAAGGTAGGGACAACCCAGCCAAGATCCTCCAGCCTTGATCTTCCTGCAGGTGAGAGCAGTTATGAAAAGTGTACATGTATATGCTTATAGGTGTTACAGATGGGAAAACTGAGGCCCGGAGAGGCTCACATAACCTGCCTGAATCACAAACTGAGCACGTAGAGTGGGAAAGGACATCCCAGAGAACACAGCGGGAGGGGGAGAATTCCTAGCCTGACTTTAACCTCACTACCAACTCATTAATCAGCCAGACCAATCTTCCCAGCACCTAACATGTGCCAAGTGCTATGTTGAAGAGGGAGTGCTCCTCGTGGAGCTTACTGACCTACCAGAAAGATAGGCATCAAAGAGTCTGGTGAGCACCCCAAGGATTGAGGGGGGCGGGGGTTGACTAGAAAGGAAGGCTAAGGAGCCCTTGTACTCTGTGGTCCTGCCGGTCCTTCCCTTCTCCCTGAGAACCACCTCTTGCATTGGTTGCAGATGTATACGAGAAGACCCTCACGGTGGACGGAGAGGACACCACACTGGTGGTCATGGACACCTGGGAGGCTGAGAAACTGGTATGGCATTGCAAACAAGATTGATGGGGAGGAGTGCTGAGCCAGATATCAGACTCCTATCCCCTCTTGGGACACACAGAGCAGGGATCAGGGCAGGGGCTCCCTCAGCAGCCCCTCCCCCTAACCCATAGCCTTTTCAAAGACAGAAGAACATCATATCCCACTGATCCCCTCCCAGGATATGCTCCCCCACAACAGACCTCCCCACCCCCCATCCTGCCCCACCCCCCCACAGTACAGAAGAAGGAACCTGGACTTGGCACACAAATGCCTATGGTTGAAATTTCCCCTTTCCAAAAAAAAAAAAAAAGTGCTGGAATATAGCTCAGCAGCCCAGCAAAAAAAAAAAAGTGCTGGAGATACAGCTCAGCAGCCCAGCACCTGCCTGGCAAGCACAAGGTCCTGAGTTCAATTCCTGGTACCAAAAAAAAAAAAAAAAAGAAAGAAAGAAATAGAAGTTCCTCCTTTCTTCATTGACTTATGTGCTCTGACTTTCAGTATTCCCATCTGACAAATGAGTCAGTCATTCCTGCCTTCCTCCTCAGCTAATTTTGTTGTTGTTCCTTGTCTGTTTTCAGTGCTAGGGATCAAACTCAGGACCTCTTGCATGCTAAGCATACACTACCACTGAGCCCATCATCAGCTGATTTTTTTTTTATTTCTTATGCAATTCCACAAAAGTGAACCCAGTTCAGAGAATAAAAAAATGCTACACAGGGGCAGAGAATAGTATGTAACAATTCTTAAGTTATAACTTGGTAATTAGTGAAAAAGGAAACCAAAATGCATCCCTCCTTATTCACTTTCAGAGCACACAAGGACATGTCTCTTATGATTTTTTCTTATTTGGGTTTTCTTTTCTCATGCTACGTAGGTAATAATTGTTATTGTAGAACTTTGAGGAAATACACCTAAGCAAAAGGATACAAAACTCACCTGGCATGGCACCTGCCTGACAAGCGCAAGGTCCTGAGTTTGACTTCCAGTACAAAAAAAAAAAAAGAGGGGTGAACAAAGCTCACCTGGGATCCCATCTCTCTCTGGATAGACCCCTCCCCTAACACTCAGGGAGGCCCCCAGGGGGTGGGGTTTAAGAGGGCAGTGAGATGACTGACAAGAATAGCAGGCAGCTCCACAGATGGGACCAAAGAAGGAAAATGAAGGAGGAAGGAGCCAAGTAGCCCGTTCCTTTTAACAAACCCAAAAGGAAACCCAGGTCCTGATGATGATTCTTATAACAGCAGCTGACATGAATAGAGGCCCCTCTTCCACCAGATGTATAAGCATTGGATGCGTATTACTGACATTTAGTCAAACAGCTACAATATGAGTCTTCTGATTCCCATTCTACTGATGAGAAACTGAAGCTCAAAGAGGTTAAGTAATGTGTCCCATGTTCCAAGAGAGAAAGTAGGATTCAAACCCAGATCTGCAAAATCCCAGAACCCTCCCCTCAGGAGCATCACCTTCTGAACGTTCAGCTCAGGTTTCACTTCTTCACCCATCCATCCATTCACCCATTCATTCGTTCATGCATGCATTCAGAAATACTTGCTGGGCACCTACTGTGGGCCAGGGTGCTGGAGACACAGCAGTGAACCAACAGACAGGTCCCCAGCTTCATGGAGCTCACAGGCTGGCGAGAAAAGGTCCACTGTTTGGATGCAGTTGAGAATTCTGTGGGGTAGAGTTCAGCTGGAACTTCTTCAGTTAAGAAGAGTGACCTGAGTGGGAGTCCCACTCTGCAGACCAGTGAGGAAAGGTAGTGGACCAGAAGGCAGAATTAGGAGTTGTGTGCTGCTTGCTGTGTGGCCTTAAGAACATTTTCTCCTCTCCTCTGGCCTTTGCTTTTCCTACCAGTAAAATGAGGAAACTGAACCAGTTTCCCTGGTTAAAGGGAGTTCCCAGAGAGGGCTCAGCTGTGCAGCCTTACTGGACTAAGCATTTTTCCTTTCCACCGTGGGCAAGACGGGACTCTGATGTCAGACATGCAGGATCTGACTGAACTCGGTGTGTTGAGATTTTCTGACCGCTCTGCCCCACCCCGCCCCTGCGGCCTACTCGCAGCTGCCTCTGGTGCTGACTGTAGTGCATTATTACCCTCCATTCCCATGGCTTCTTTTGCAGACCATGAGCTTCTTGCAGGCAGGAATTATGTCTTATTAAACACAATGTTATCACCCACATGGTCCCATCTCAAGTGCTGTCCTTGACAAATGACCACCATCCCAAAGGGAATGTCAAGATCACCCCAAATCTTTCCTTTTCCTAGTGAAACAACTTGAAGAGACCACTTCTCAAAGTTCCCCCTACCCATGTCCCCTTCTGAATTTACAAGATGTAATCAGAAAAACACTCTTCTTAAGTTACATTATTACAGTAGAAGACACATTGCCACTAACCCCTCTCAAAATCCTCCCCCTCGCTTTGAGCACATTTATCCCCTGAGTCTTACCACTTTCTGAAGCTGTTCTGGACATCCTCTTAAAGGAATACCATTAGTTGCCCCATCTTTGCTACCCAATATCCTGACTCCATTCTAAACCTTCACCCCTCATGGTCATTTTGCCTTTGGGAAAAGCCAGAAGTCACACCATGCCAGATCCAGTGAATAAGGTAGATGAGCTACGCACACATCTTATGTTTTTACAAGCCTTCTTTTCTGTTGGATGGCATTTGGCAGCAGCATTCACCATATTTTTATCACATCTCATAAAGTTACTCACAAAAGAAGTCTTCCAGAAGTGCTTCAGGAAGTGACAAGACTGGTAGAATAAGAGGGAGATTAATCACAATGTGTCGTTTACTATAAGAATTTTTATTTAAATATTCACGATATATTTTGATCACCTCTTGTACATTCCACAGCTGTTCCTTCACCTCTCTCTTCAAAACTGTCCTGGGAAAGGCCTTCCCTGAAGACAGTCTTTCTGTCCACGCTTCTCTGTCCTTTTCGGTCTCGATTCTGGGTTGCAGAAGGCCTAATAAACTGTGTGGTAAAGCCAAATCCTCCTCAGAAACCAGGTGAAAGAGCTGAACAAACAAAGCCAGAACCCTCCTTACCAAGAAAAGGAACCACAGAAATCTTTGCTACCAGTGCCAGCTTACAGAAGTCACTGTGAAGAAGGGAATGTATGCTCAGTTTTTCAAGCAGAGAAACTGAGGCTCAGAGAGGATGAGTGATTTTTCCAAAGTGATTCAGAAAATTATGGCAGCATATATTCCCCCAAACATGTACAGGGTATAACCTCAAACCTATTCCATCCATTAAATCAAGCCAGCCTCCTTCCCAGCCAGGCCCTAGGCCCCTTCTAAGGAGCGGGCCGGGGTCTCTCCCGCAGGACACAAGCTGGAGCCGGGAGTCCTGCCTGCAGATGGGTAGCGCCTATGTCATCGTGTACTCCATCGCAGACCGCGGCAGCTTCGAGAGTGCTTCAGAGCTCCGCATCCAACTGCGGCGCGCACACCGGGCAGACCACGTGCCCATTATCCTCGTGGGCAATAAGGCAGACCTGGCACGCTGCCGCGAAGTCTCCGTGGAAGGTGAGCCCTGCGCCCCACCTGACCGCCCCACTGCTCCTCCGACGTGGCCACCCACCGCCATCCTACAAGCCCATTGGCTGAAACTGCCAGCTAGGAACTGCACCCCCAAGCAGTCACATCCAGCAAGCCCCCCTGCCTTAGGCCCGCACCCCTCCCTCCTTGCCTACAACCTCTGCCCTGTGCTGGCATCCTCCCTTTGTCCCAGGTCAGCCCCTGCGCTTCTCTGCCCTGCTCACCAGCTGCAGTTTTCCTGAGCTAGAGCTGACCTTGCCCTTTCTCTGCTTAAAAATCCCCCCATGTCTCCACGTGCCCTTAACCAGAGACACCTTATCTACCGGACATGGTAGGCCCAGTGCCTACCAGCTTTTCAAGGACCTGCACTTAAGAATTTTAAAAGATCATTAGTAGCTCCAAACCAGGCATGATGGCACACGCCTATAATCCCAGCACTCGGGAGGCTGAGACAGGAAGATCGTTTGGAGTTCAAGACCAGCCTGGGCTACAAAGTGAGCTCAAGGCCAGCCTGAACTGCATAGTAAGACCCTGTCTCAAAAAGACAAAAAAATAAAATAAAAATATATCGTTAGTGGCTCCAAAATAAAATGAGAAAATGAGAAACTCAAATTCATAAACCTTTGTCTAAAAAATAATTGTGTCATCTGGCAGTTAAGAACCAAAACTTTTAAAATTATTTATGAATTATATTTACAGTGGGATGGGGAATATTTTAATGTTTCATATTTCTGGTGGGGCCAATGAAGAGCTTAAAATGGCCCTACTTATAAAGTAAACCTACAAAATATGGAAGCCTAGACCCAGATAGAGAAAGCCAGTTTCCCAGGGTCACCAGCCGTGCAGGAACGGACTCAGGCCCTGCCTCCCAGCCCACTGGCCTCCTGGGGATGGAAAGCCAAATGTTCTGTGGACAGACATCCGGAAAAGCTGCCACAGAATCCACAGATTTTGTTCAAACACAGGTTCCCGGATCTCATCCTATTGTAGAAACTGTAGCAAACCGGATGGAAAATGCTTTGCAGCAGGGAGGTTGGAAGGCAACTTTTATTAATGGTGGTGGACTGATGGGACCTGGGTCCAAATCATTAGCACTGGCTTAAAGTAAAACAGCAACTAATATACATTTTGTTAGCAGGAAGTGCAAAGTCGATAAAGGGTTAGTTTATAATTGGTTAAATATATTGAGTCATAGGTTGTCAGGCACATGTGTCTGGGGCAGGTTTTAATTGGAGGGGGTCATTTATCATGAGGCAAGTCAGAGTCCCAGGCAAGCAAGCAAGATCTAATGTGACCCGGGTAAATAATCCTTGAAGTAAGCTAGTAAGACAGGATATTTGTGTAGGCCATTGTGCATTTGGTCAGATAGGGCTAAGTCAATTTTATCTCTGAGCTGCAGCTGTGTTGTCAAGGCAGTTGAGTCTGATGGCCCAATTATGAAGCTATAGTTTTAAAATCTTCTCACTACAATCCCAAATCTAAGGACTCTGAATTCCTGAAGGTAAGCCCAAAAATCTACTTTTAACAAACTCCTCCAGGTAATTCCAATACCTGGGAAGTTAGGCTTCTTGCCCTGCATTCAGCCTGCTTCGCACTTCGTCCAAGTGCGAAGCACCGACTCTGGAATGTGCACTAACTCCCCCGGCCCCACCCGGTATGATTTATCTTTGATTTCCCTGACGCCTGCACCACGGGTGGGTTCAGGGAAAATTTCTTGCAGTAGACTGAACTTGCCTCTGTCACTTTCTGGTTTTGGCTCCACCCTGCCTGCCCAACCACACCTTGCAGAGGGCCGCGCGTGCGCCGTGGTGTTCGACTGCAAGTTCATCGAGACGTCGGCCGCCTTACAGCACAACGTGGCAGAGCTCTTTGAGGGCGTGGTGCGCCAGCTCCGCCTGCGGCGCCGGGACCAAGCCGCCGAGGAGCCCTCGGACCCGCGCCGTAGGGCCAGCCTCGGCCAGCGCGCTCGTCGCTTCCTGGCTCGCCTGACGGCCCGCAGCGCTCGCCGCCGGGCACTCAAAGCCCGTTCCAAATCGTGCCACAACCTGGCCGTGCTCTGAAGCCACCTGCCTTTCCTGAGGTGGTGGGACACTGGGATGCTGTCTGAGCTTCGCTGAAGTTACTGAGGAGCAAGAGCTGCGTGGTGCACAGGCCACACCTCGGGCCCTATCTGCCGGCTGCCTGAATGGTGAGAGCATCACCCAGAGCCAGAGCCCAGAGGACCACTCGGGCTGGGGAAGTGGTGGACAGACCATGGGCCCAAGCCTGAAGGCGGATGCGAAGTAGGGTGTTTATAACGCGGTGGGTGCCTTTTTATAAAAATCTCCTTTTTCTCTAGCCTCTGACCTATGCTCAGAAACCCTCACAATAAACCAGTCCAGAAGGGTGTCCAGGCTGAAAGCCCAGACTCCTTGGGCTCTCCAGACTCTCCCTCCTGTCTTCGCGTTACACCGCTGTAGACTGGTTTACCCTGCTGGCCGTGTGTCCAGGTCAGCCAATAAAATCGCAGGCCAGCTGTGTCCTCAGGCCCTCTCCCAACCACGGGGAGACCCGTCTTTGAGACACACACAGGATCACTACGAACCGCAGCTTGGGACAACCCACTATTTTGTCCTAAATTCATTTTCTGGAGTATAGATTCACAAAATATTGTTTGGAAGGAATCTTAGCACTCCTCCTGGTAATATAGCTGGCATTTGTGTATCAAGCTGTCACAACTATTAATTAATCTTCACCTGGGAGGAGAATGTTACCTTTAATCTGTTTGATTAATTAAGAAAACTGTAGAGGCTCAGGCCCAGACTAATACAACTGTGCTCCGCGAAGTTGCCAGGATTCCAACCCAGGCTTCTTCCCCTAGTATCTATGCCCAGCTTACCCACAATCTCATCCTCCTTAAGAATCTGACAGGGTACTTGGGAGTCTGAGGTGGTCTGGACAACTTGGCAAGACCCTACCTCTAATTAATTAGGCCACAGAGTTCTCATCTAGCATGTACGGAACCAGGGCTCCATCTCCAGTGCTAAAAAAAAAAAAGGAGAAGAGGAAGAAGGAAAGAAAAAACGAAAGAGGGACAGAAAGAAAGAAAGAAAGAAAGAAAGAAAGAAAGAAAGAAAGAAAGAAAGAAAGAAAGAAAAAAAGAAAGAAAAAGAAAGACAGGCATGGTGGTGCACACCTGTAGTCCCAGCCCTCTGGAGATTGAGGCAGGATCCACGTGAGTTCCAGGCCAACCTGGGCTACGTAAGCGAGTTCAAAGCCAGCCTCCACTACATAGACCCTGTCTCAAAAATTAACTAATTAATTAATTAATTTTTAAAAACAGCAAAAGAATGTGACCAATCCCTATAGCACCTGACGGAGACAAACTTTCAAACACAATTCTGCAGACAATGTAAGAACTGATAGGCATGAAGTCCATGAAACTCGATCCATTAATCCCTCAGGATAAGGGGCTGGGGATTTAGCTCAGCTGCAAAAGCGCCTGCCTGGCAAGCGCAAGGTCGTGAGTTCAGTTCCTGGTACCGGAGAAAAACGAAAAAAAAAAAAAAAATCCCTCAGGATAGAGCCCAATTTAGTCCATTCCACCCATTTTCCAAATGTGAACACCGAAACCCAGTCGGGGGAGGTGAGCACGCTCTCCAAGGCCGTCCAGCCAGCGAGGGTAGCCCCCTGGGACCTCCTGTTGGCTGTGAGGAAGGAAAAAGACAGCAAGGTGTCCAGCCTGGCTGGGACAGGACTGGGTGTAGGTCAGGAGTTTGCAGCTGAGAGGGACGGGTGTCACCGCCTTTGAGAAGGGAACATGATGCAAATGTTTGGGCCATCGTGTTTCTGACGCCTGACACCCCTGCCCCTAAACAGATCCCTGCCAAACAGTGGCCTCCGCGTCCCAGCCCCCCACCCCACCCCGCCCCCGCAAGGAGAGCCTGCCAGCGCGCCATCCCCCAGCCCCACACCCAGGGCCTGCCGGCCGAGCGTGGATAACACCTACTCCCCCGTCCCAACAGCAGCCCAGGAAAGAGGGGGCACAGGGTCTCCCCCACTGCAAGCTGTCTCCGGCCGCGGTCGGGGTGGGGGAGGATGCTAGCTGTGGAAAGTTGGCAGAGGCAGCCGGCAGCAGACGGGAGAGTGGAAAAAATGATATCAAACCCGGAAAAATGCAGGCCGGATGAAGGGCCAGAGTCGGCTTTAGAAACGAAGGCGGTCACAGTCACCGCTTTCTTCATCCACAAGAATTTATTGAGGGTCTACTCAGTGCTGGGTACAGTGCCAGGCTCCGGGAGGTGTGGGGGAAGGGGGGATGAGCTGCTGCTCCCTGGAGCTCGCCACAGGACAGGGGGCCACAGACTAGACAACGAATAAATGAATAAAATACTTACAAAATGATAGGGGCTGAAATTCAGGATGGTCAGGGAAGCCCCTGAAGATAATCCAATCCAGTCCCCCTCAGAGGAGGAAACTGAGGCCAGGAGGAAGAGGATTTACCCCAGACCACTCAGAATGTGGAAGACATAATTGAGACCAGGTTTGGGGGGTCACCTCTGTTCAGTCCTTGCTACCCTCCCCCCAGCGCCTTAGCTTCCCCACTTACAAAATAAGATTTCTGACAATTCCCTCCTTCAGAGTTGAAGTGAGGATGAAATGATTTAAGCTGTGTAAAGTACTAAGTACAGGGCCAGCTCAGCAGCAAAGCGCCTTCCTGGCAAGTGCAAGGTCGTGAGTTCAGTTCCCAGTACCAAAAAAAAAAGTACTAAGTGCAGCTCTGGTGTCCGGTAAGATTCAGTAGAGGTTGGCTGCTGCTATCACATCCTAAGCCTTGGGGGAGACTAGGGTTTGGGAAGGGTGAGGTATTCCGAGGGTGTGATTGCCTGCTTGGGAGCCTCTGTTTAGAAAATCCCTCCTGGGCCTCAGTTTCCCCGCTGCAAAATACAAGGATTGAATATGAACTTGTATTTTACGTTCATGTAAATACATCATCTGTCTCCCCCAGAGGAAGGGAAGCTCCTAAGTGCTGCACTAGCCCTAGCCCCAAGCACAGGTGCCCCGTAACTACCTGTTGAGCAGGTTAATTAACCAGCCTGTGGAGTGGCCCTTCCAGTCCTGGCCTCTGTGATGCTAGGTGTTGATGAAGAAGGTACGGCTGAATGCCAGAGATGTAGCTCAGCAGCACAGCGCCTGCCTGGCAATCTCATGGTCATGAGTTTGATTTCTAGTTAAAAAAAAAAAAAAATGTATATAAATAAAGAAAGAAGGTATGGCTGGAAAAGCTTGTGAGAAACCCACATTACCCCTCCCAGGGACACAACCCATCGGGGTTTAAAAAGTCCTTTCTCATCCAAAAAAACAAATAAATGAAGTAGCTGTTTTAACTTTTTCTATGTGTTAGTGTCGAGCTGCATGCTACAGGCTGGCTCTGCACTTCTCACTTCCTTGTCCCAGTTGGCTTCTAATTAATAAGTATCATTTGCTAGGTGAGCATTCTGAGCCTGAGGACCTGAGCAACTGGTCCAAGGCCACACAGCAAGAAAGGTGAGTCTGTTCAAATAAGATGTGTTGTCATGAGGCAGGCAGGAACCTCCGTCTCAACTGCAGGGTTGGAGACACTGAGGAATAAAGGCAACGAATTGCCCAAACCCAAGGTCATGTAAGAATAACAGCAGGCAGTTCCATCACTTCTACTATGTATAAAGTACTGTTCAGAGTTAAGTTACTACATCTTCAAAACTGGTATATGATCACCATGCTAGTTTGCAGATGGAGAAACAGTAGCACAGAGAGGTTTAGCTCCCCGCCAAGGCTGCACAGGGATGTCTGGTCCCATGGTGTTAAAGGTTCACCTGTATTTATATGGCACCATTTGTCAGTACAGCAAGCCCAAACAGAGTAGCATAAAAGGGGAGGAGTCTTTGCCCTGCATCCTGCTGCCAGAGCTTGGGGCGGGGCACAGAACAAAAGTACATTAAGAGAAGCTGGGTGGCTCACACCTATCATCCCAGCACTCTGTGAGGTTGAGGCAGGAGGATCACAAGTTCAAGGCCAGCCGGGGCAACTTCACAACTTAGGGAGATTCTGCTTCAAAATAAAGCATTTTTTAAAAAGGGCTGGAAATGTAGCTCAGTGCAAAAGCGCTGGGTTCAATTCCTAGTACACACACACACACACACACACACACACAGCACGCTAAGAGTCCTTGGCCGCAGCTGGGACTTTCCACCTTAAAGGGAGGATGGTGTTATGGAAAAAATGATAAAGCTCTGGAAAGATGAATATCTCCCCAGAGGCCCCCAAGTCTCCAAGAGTCCCCCCTCTTGCTGTGAGGGAGGGTCACAAACTGCTGGCCCGATCTGATGAGACGAAGGCCACCTGGCCCCTGAGATCCCCCAGCCGGGCTGCTCAGAATACTGAGGATCACTGTCGCTGATGGAACGTTTTGATTTCTCAGCCAGGAACTTGAAGCTTCTGCTTGGAGACCCCCAAGCAATCGGTGTCAGGCTGGAGCCCCTTGTCCTGGGGTGGCAGGAAATACACCTCTCACGGGCCCCGCTCACGCCTCCCTTCGTTCTGCAAGCAGCAGCAGCGCTGTGCGCTGTGAAGGAAGGTGCGGAGCACAGGGGTCACAGCTGGCAGACACGGGGACTTCCACGCGCCTGCCCGGAAGGGAATGGAAGGGAAGAGGAGGGGTAAGAAAACTGTCCTGCAACTGCTTTAGAGAGATTAGGTTCTCTCAGTTCTATCATAAGCATGTGGCCTTAGACAAATCAAAATACACAGAATGGAAAGATGAAGATAGAATTCTCCATGTGACTGTCTTCGTCTCAAGAATATTTGAATATTTTAGTTCAACAGCTTGAAAAAATATACAAGTTCGGTTTCAATTCAAGCACTGTTCCCTTCTTCAGTTCAGGGTTCAGTTAAAAATAATACCAATGACAGGGTGGGAGCTTCGAGTTCAGCAATGTGTGCAGTTTTCTCCAGTTCCATTTGGTTCAGGTTCAAGGCTAGGGGTGTGGAGGGGGGGTGGATGTGGGTGTGTGGGTGGGT